CTTAGAGAAATGTTCCAGTTCAGCGATTTTGGTCTTAAATTTTAAATTCACTTTGAATTCACACTTTAGTGAATAACTTTATCACACTAAAAGTGTCAAAAGAAAAAAAAATGGAACAATCCGTAGGAATATTGCATTGGTTTTCGTGGTGATTGCTACCCATTTAGCGTTCAACCCATTTTGCTATTAGTGACACATTTACGAATCTTACTCCTTTGTGTTTATAAGTGGAAACAGGTGGAGTGCTTGTTTATTTAACATTTCATACCTTTTACGTAACCAATCCTCCGAGGAAGTGTTTTGGCAGTCATGTTAAACCCGCACTGGCCAAATCTATACGTAGAGCATAGCTGGCTACCAACACACTATAGTTTTTGTAATTAAAATACAAGCCCTTGACTTTTTTTCTTTGTATCACATAGGAGTGTTCTAATATTGATCGCCTTGAAAACCTGACCCTGGAGGATTTTATATTGACCGCACAGTTGTTAAAAACATTTGGACATACTCTGCAGGTAATGAGAAGTGTGGAGGTTGCAGCAGGTGGTGAAATAAGGTACAGTGCTAGACTTGGAGTAATGCCATCACTCTCACGAACAAGACAAATTTCGAATAGCACATGATTATATTAGGACATCTACACGTAGAACCAATAACTACATGTCTTTACAAGCGTTTGTCAAATTAGAAAGGCTCTTTTATTTTCAGATTTGTTTATTAAATATTTCATTTGTTATGTGTTTATTAGTTCAGGCATAGTGGGGAGGATGCAAATTAGTCACAGAAAAGGATTTAAAAGGTCACTCTGAACACCGTTCAGTTTGCTGTAGTGCTCTATGTGTGAAGAGTGTGTCCTCTCTTTTTTTTTTTTTTTTTTATTTGCAAAAAGTGCAGATTTTAATAGAAATGTATTATTTTTATATTATTGTTTTTATAAATAAACCTTGTTACACCCCATTGACTGTCAGTCAGACAACTGGCCCTGTTACTTCCTGGTTTGGTTAGCTCAGTGGAGGCAAACTCAAGAGGCAAGCAAGTGCCCAGAGCACCTGCAGAGACTTCTCATTGAGCTGCGGTTAGGAATTCTGTGCTTGGACAGCCACAGAAAGTCTGGGTGGGGTTAGAAGGGGAGGACTTGGAAAGGCATCAGACAAGAGACGTGCAGCTTTTGCAAGCTGCTATTAGATATATCTCCAATGGAAGAAAAGTGTTAAAATGAATGCCATAATGTTTTCATGGCGTAGGTCTACTAAATGGTAATTTATTTTTTAATTTAGGCAGTGGAGTGTGTAAGTATATAGAATACAATCCAAAAACAAGCTAGGAAGGTAGAGATCATGAGTCGTAATATAAAATTGGGAGTATTACTTATTACTTTAGAAGATAATTTTTCTGTATTTAATACAAAAAGGCTTATTCACTAGATAAAGTGTTGCAAGTTAAAAAATAAAGTGCCAAATTTAGGCTCAACCAGACAATCTGTGACTAGAGTGGAGTTTAAGATTTTTCTTTAAATTTTGACATTTTGTTTTTAATTCATTACAATTCTGTGCTTAGTGGATAAAGTCATAATTAAACCACCTGCCTGTCCCCATCAGACTCTCTGAGTCTTCAATTATTTAAAGGGACACACCAGTGCCAGGAAAACAATCTGTTTTCCTGGCACTGCAGGTCCCCTCTCCCTCCCACCTCCCATCCTTGGTTGCTGAAGGGGTGAAAACCCCTTCAGTCACTTACCTGCGACCCCCGCCGATGTTGCTCGGCAGTGGTTTCGGGTCGCCGCCGCTCCTCCCCTTCCTTACGCCTGCTGGCCGAGGAGACCTAATGAGCATGTGCGGCAAGGCCGCGCACGCGCATTAGAGCTCTTCATATGCTTTCCTATGGGGAATTGAACGACGCTGGAGGTCCTCACACAGCGTGAGGGTGTCCAGCGACACTCTAGCACAGAAAACCTGTGCTATAGACCAGGAAGTGCCCTCTAGTGGCTGTCTACTAGGCAGCCACTAGAGGTGGAGTTAACCCTGCAAGGGTTTATAAAAAAAAAAAAAAAGCTGCAATAATTACACTTGCAGAGTTAAAGGGAGTAGGAGTTGGCACCCAGACCACTCCAATGGGCAGAAGTGGTCTGGGTGCCTGGAATGTCCCTTAAAATCCATCTTTTCAAAAAGGCTTATTGCCTCCCAGGGTAACTTTTACAATTTTACAAACCTATCTCTTGCTCTCTCCTAAAGGGCCACACTCACCTTGTTTGTTTGCTGTCCCCTTTAATGCCCTTCTTGTGGTTTTTATACCCCTCATCCTTTAGAACAAAGGTGCCCAAAAGGTAGATCCCCAGGTGTTTTTAGACCTACAGATCCCAAGATGTTTTGTCACTCTAAATGCATACAAAGCATCATGGGAATTGTAGTTCTAAAACATCTGGGGATCTACATTTTGGGCCCCCTTACTCTAGACTGTAAGCTCATGTAAACAGGGACCTCATCTACCATTGTTTCTGTGACATTTTGTTATGGTCTCAGTTATTGTCGTTTCACCTTTTTTATAATATTGTAAAGTGCTGCAGAATAGGTTGGCTATTGCCATGAGATTACAAATTTCAAGACCTGAACATTTCACATTGTTCAAAACAAAGTGCCATAGTTTGGTGCTTAGTGCCCCTTTAACACAATGATTCAGTACCGCATAGGCACAAAAAGTTGTCGGTGCAAGGTCTAGTTTTGATATCATGCTAACGTAGTTCAGAGCGGACTCCAAGCAGGCTCTATAAATTGCGAATTTTCCAATTAACTATCTTACCTCATTATTGCGCTTAATATATTACACTATTTTTTTTTATTCCTGTTATATAGGATTCTTTTATCATTATACATTGAGGACCATTTTATCATTGTATATTATGATGTAAATATTTTTTTTGTTTTGTCAATCTTGGTTTTATTGCGGTACGAAAAGAGTACATAGAAAAATATTCTAGACACAATGCACAAGCGTAGCTTATCGTATCACATGTGTTAAATACCTCATTTAAAAAAAAAAAAATTTAATAAAATTGGCAAAACTAGTGAGGTTTACTAAATTATAATGGCGTAGTCCAAGCTAGGGTTCAAGATGACGGAATAAACCACCATTGAGATGTCAGCTCTACGTAACATGCTAGATTATCAGGTTTTAATGCAGTGATGGCGATGTAGCTTGGTACGGATACCGCTGGGATCTGGAGAGATGTAAAGACGCTGCATACAACAAGAGTAACAAATCTAAAACAACGCGCTAATTAACGCAGGAGATACATTCCCAATTGTGTGGTAAATAGAATCAGTGGGGTTTTTTTTTTTTATATACTTTATGTTGAGTGTAAGTGTCAGAATAAATTTAGGTGATTTTTAGGCTTTACTGGATTATTCAGTGTTGGCATCAATTTCCCCTTTCCCCGTTTTTTTTTTTTTTACATATTGAAATGTTTTAAAGCCATTATGCAATTACACACACAACCAACAGAAAGCCTTGTAATTCTGTGTCGCCCACTAGATGTTCGTTTCCTAAACCAGCTTTCTAAATATTCTGCATAATATGGAAGAAGTAAAGAAAGACTGTATGGTGACTAAATACAGTGGTTGTAGTGCCATCTAGAGGTCTAAAGAAGTATAACTACAATAGTGTATCAATAGTTAAATCCCCCCTCCTATATTGTAAAGCGCTACGGAATCCGTTGGCGCTATATAAAAGGCAATAATAATAAAATACACCAAAACGGCTTCATTAAGCTAAAGTTGTTTTGATTACTTTTGTAATTCTTGAAATAACAAACAGTACTAAGCTACCTCTAGGGTAGACCACCAATGTATCCGACAGCTGCTTTGGGTACCACCTTGTCACTTTATCTGACGTTTTAGCGGAGGAGAGTGATACAGAGTTTTTCACGTTGTTTGCAGTGTATGGTCGCGTGACAGGCAGGGGTGCACAGCTTCCCCACAGATCAAACCATGGGAATTAATGCCCCTTAGGGGTAAGAAACCAGAGGCTTGCAAAAGAAAAATCTCAAGTAGTAACAAACACAAAGCAGCACAACTGGTGGTGCTCGGAAACAGCCAATGGGGTCGGATCAGACCTGAATAAACATGATTACACTAATTTGTATTCGGTGTAGCTATTTAATAAACAACAACAAAAAAAAAAGTTCAATAATATGCTTAAATTGGACAAATTTGGACCACAGTAGATGCCACTTTCTTAGAGGTACACTCCAAACCCCTAAAGTGTCAATTTTTTTGGGAATGTTAACATGAATTAACCTGGTTACATCCCTCTCCTCCTGGGTGGCAGACAACCAGTCCTGTTATTTTCTGGTTGAAAAAAAAATTAAATTTTTTTTTAGACAAGTCTTCTACAGCTTATGTCATATGTCAAGTTCTACTGCCAATGAATATAGTGCAAAATTATATGCAGGCATGTTTTCACTAAAAGTACATCTACTCAACATTTTGCAGTTGGGTGGTGGAGTGTCCCTTTTAATGCGTTACATAAGGAAAGAATGAATTGAAAGAATTTAAAAAAAAAAAAACCCTCACATCTGCAAAAATTTTTCACTGCAAAACCCCAGTTTTTTGCAGTGGCTTAATTAAATATCTGAAACCTTTGAGCCAATGAGTATATGGTCATACCTTTCAATGTGATTGCTGTTAAAGGACCACTATAGGCACCCAAACCACTTAAGATCAATGAAGTGGTCTGGGTGTCAGGTCCATCTAGTTTTAACTCTGCAGCTGTAAACATAGCAGTTTCAATCCAGCCTCTAGTCGCTGCCTCATTGAAAAATCACAGTGAGAAGACGCTGACGTACATAGGAGAGCATTGAGTAATGCTTTCCCAAGGACTGATAGAATGTGCGCAGCTCTTACCACGCATGCGCAGTGGGCGGATGACATCTGAAAAGGGAGGAGAGTCCCCAGCGCCGGAGAAAAGTAAGCCTTTAACCCCTTCAGCCCAGCGAGAGTGGGACCCTGAGGGTGGGAGGGACCTAAAGACCCTATAGTGCCAGGAAAAAGTTTGTTTTCCTGGCACTATGGTGGTCCTTTAATATTCCATAAAAACCAGCAGAGCAGTTAAATTGTTTATCCACCATATATCACCCATCTATGCCATTTCCATCAAGCAAATCCTTAAATTGAGATCAAATAATTGAGGAAACGATAAAATAAACACTTTTTTTGCAGCTTCAAGATGATAGTAGCTCAGATTATATATCATACAAGGAACATTTATTAAGATTCCAAAAACAGTTACATTTAGAAGACATTTATATAAAAGCTGCCTGCATAGTGTAAGTTAAAAGAAAATAAATGAATACAATAAACATTTTACCTCTCACACGGGTTTTTGTAAAGTCCAGTATTCGTTATTTAACATGTTCACTACACACGTGTGATTATATTTTATTTGTTCGGCTAGAAATTCCACAGCCTTTTTGCCCATAAAGTACAGATATGTGATGAAACCCAATCTGTTAATGATAGAATAGCACAAAGCCGTGCTTATAATGCATACAATATTATTTTGCGGCACACAGCAGTAGGAAAAGCCTAATGAAGGTACGCTTAGGATAGAAGTGACTTGTTTACCTTACCATAAGTGTGTGCATAGGTTGCATTGTTCCCATCTACATATTGCCTCACTGGCTGTAGAACGTCCCAATCTGTATATTGAGATGATTTTAAAACACATTACTGGTCAGCTAGGGAGTTTAGCACGGCGCTAATATATAGTGATAGTTAACTCCGCTACAACAGAATATTTATAGCTAACCGGAGACTGCCGATGTTTATAGACTACATTTCCCATGATGCTTGGCCTAAAAGCAGGCTGGGGATCAAAGGGATTGCTGTACACAAATATCTGGGCTGGTTAGACATTACCGCCTAATTCAGAGCCCTAACAGAACCATTTCATAGAGCTTCACAAAAACCAGGTGGTTGGCTCAAACTACTAGACAGTGAAATAAAAAGATGAATAAACACAGAACAAACAAACAAAACAGCACCCACCACAAAACAAAAAACGGTCTAAAGCACATTGTGTTTTCTCAATTACCTGGCTTTAAACAGACCTTGAGCGTAAGTGCAGCGGTTCGTAAAGGAGTGTAGGGGGATCCCCTCTGTACAGTTAATTTGATATAATCTAGGATCATGGGAAGGATATTTTATGTACAAAAAAAGTTTAATCCAAAACAGTATACAGTAACAGTGAAGAAAACATAAAATCCTGCCGTGTTTAAAAATACACTAGAAACGTGTAACATACAAAACATTTAAAAATATTTTAAAATCTTTTTGTAGAGGAAGGACGAGGACACAGATTAGTTTTGGACCCTCAGTGGAAGTTTAGATCTGGGAAGAGACGTTTCTCCGTCTTCCGAGATTTTTGTTCTTTCCAATGTAGAATTTGCTTTGTTTTCCTTATCTTTTTTGAGTCCTTTCTTTAGCTGGAAAAGATTTAAAAAAAAATAAAAAAATTCTCAGGTTAGTTTTCAAACATAACACACAGATGAGCTTATATAAAGGTTTAAGAAACAGTTTCAAGTTAAAACCTTAAAGATTAATAACCATAATGGTGTTCTTTAAGACTCTTTCCTCTAAAGTGGAAATACCCACTCTTACAGGACAATACAACAGCAACTGATGTAATGGGTCCTTAAACGGAACATCTGCAGTGATTATGGTGCCAGGAGTGCATTGATGCCCCCTGCAGCATGCTGTACTGGTTATGGTTTCTTTAACAGGTTAGCGAAATTTTCCAAGTCAATCTCAAAATAAGCTTTGTTACCTGGAAAAAGGGAACACCGCCATTTTCTTGACATGTAACATTGAGATCAATAATTGACTTTTCACTAACAATACTGTCATCGACGACCATGGGTGGGTCATCCTCCAGAGAATCCTAAAACAACAAACAAACATCATGTCAGACACCCAACAAATACATATTTTATCAAAGTATTTGACTTCGCTGTAAGCTTATTAAATCTATATACACTCCACTGATAAACCAGAAGACAAAAATGACAACACAGGTCAAACCGCTCGCTAGCATATCGGCTCATATATATATATATATATATATATAAAAATTTTGGAAGAGATTAAAGGTAACGGAAATTGAAAACGGACACTATAGACATCAGAACCATGACAGCTTAATGTAGTAGTTATGGTGTCTATAAACTTGCCCCTGCATTTCTGAGCAATGAGAACTCATTGCCTTTTCATGCTCAGCCATCACACCCCGATGGCAACTTCAGGTGCTTTCTATTTCAGCTCTGCGCAGCACTGAACGCTCCCAATAAATATGCAGCGATTCAATGCATCTCTAGAAGGAGATGTTTATTGGCGCAGCACAGCGTTTTGTTACGTGTGCGCATTAGCCTCCCAATGTTTTCCTATGGGAAACCAGAAGACAAAACCGATACTTTTTCCTATAGGAAAGCATTGGATTGGCAGAGATAGCCAAGATTAATTAAAACAATAATGGAGGCAGGTACAACCGCAGAGAGACCAGTGTGGTGACTGAGAAAAGGTGAGTAAAATACCTTTTAACGACATGCTGTAGGGGCCGAATACCTAAATAGTAGTACAGCACTGCACGTAACACAAACATGTACTCCTAACACTATTGTGTCCCTTTAAGAATGCCTAAAAATAGATCAGTAGGCTTTGGACAATCAATATATTCATTCCTACAAAAACAGAAATGGCCCAGAGCAGTGTGAAATATGCAATTTGTCCATCAATGTACAGACGAGATACAAAGTGGAAAGACATGCATGTGTCTAATCTCCCTGTACAAACATTTTACAGATGGCACAAGAGTTACTGGTACCTGATCAACTGGCTCCTCTACTACCGATAGCATGGTGGAAACTGTGACCTGAAGGTCTTCTTGTTGCCTCTTAAACCTACTAAGGAGCACATCTCTTGGGTCGCTCTTCACAAGTGATGATGGGTAAGAATATAGTCTACGTTGAGGCGTCATACCTAGAATATGAGAGGGAATTTTTTTATTTTATTTTTTAGAAAAGGAAATATTTCAATTCTGACTTTAAATAGAACTGTGGACGGTAGTAATCAAATACATAGATTAAATATATAGTACCCTATTTTCCAAACACATGCAAGACTATTAACCTTAAACCAAATTGCTACCACTGTCTATAGTAGACTATGGAGAACAAAAACATGGATCTTAAATTTCAGCATGAACTCTCACCTGTGGGCACATCGCATCGAAGCTCTTCAAAGAGGTAGGTTTCAACTTTATTGAGTCCAGACTGTGCTTGTTCAAGCAGCTCTAGTTTCTGGTCTCCAAGCATTTCCTGGTCATCCTTTACTTGCTCCACCATGCTGGACAACGCGTTCCCCTGAGCAGAACGCTGCTTGTCCACCAGCCCTGTAATCTCCAGCACTGATGAACCACAACAGTCTTCTACATCCTATATGTGTGACAAAGAAAACATCAAGATCTAATTTAAAGCCATCAATAAATTTGCCAAGTAAAGGGAGAGGGAAAAAATATTTCTAAAATATAGGATTTTTTTTTTTAAACAGAAAATGAGAACAGACAACTTACCTTCTGTAAATTTTGCACCTGTGCTTTACTGCTCTGTAAGTAACTCATTTGTTGCTGATCGAGGGATGTTATCTTATTATTCACGATTTTACACCAGCTTCCAGTGTCCTGAGATATTGCATGGATGTTGCTGCTTAATTTTTCACACTGTTTGGTGGATTCCTGGACTGCTCCCATGTTGGACTCTGCCAACAGCCTGATTTCTGCAGCAATGTCCTGTGTTTGTCCTTCAAATACTTTATGATTGGATGCGGTGTGTTCAATCGCCTCCGCTGAATGCCTACATTCCGGAAAGGGATTCATATTAACATGGCTAAACATTTAAGGTATTTGCTACTAGCCAAGCTTTAAAAAAAAAAATAAAAAAATAAAATAAAAACTTACTCGGAACTCCATGCTGTAGTATATTAACAGGGGGTGAATTTCTACTCAACAGGACTGCAGTTTGACTTGCCACCAAGGGCTAGTGAAAATTTTGAGCCCTGATATAAATGTTCAACCAACAAAATATTAAGTGTGGCACACACCCTTAATCTCTGAGACCAAGCTTCTAACTCGGATGTTAATGTTAGTCATCGCTGCCACAGGTCAATGGGACACTTCATTAATAGCATAGGGGGCTTAATTGGCTGTATGGATACTCGGAAATGCTTTTTAAAGCAGTTTTAGTGGGATCAATATGGTGATCGCTTTGGTATTTGGAAAGGAAGAAATGAAAAACACAAACATTAGTTAAGCAGCTTGGCAAAGATACAAAAGCCAAGTGATGCTAGAGCAGTGGTTCAATTCATGTTTTTGTTTTTTTTACTCATTAACCCCTTAAGGACACATGACATGTGTGACATGTCATGATTCCATTTTATTCCAGAAGTTTGATCCTTAAGGGCTTAATGCAACCTGCAGAGTGCTAATCAGAAACCCTTACCCATCGAGTTCTTCACGCAAATGACAGACAGAATTCTGCAACTTCCCTCCTTTCACCAGAAGCTCTGAGAAATTCTGACGAGTTTCCATAGCAAATAGATTCAACTGGTTTTGTAGAGATGCGATTAATTTATTTACCCCCTAAAAGTAAAAACAAAACAACCCAAAACATTAAACTATATAAATACAGCAGCATGCAAAATTTCTTGCTTCTCAAGCCTGTATCAATTCAATGAAAAGGCTAAGGGAAATTCATTGCAGTTGAAATACCCATCTAGAGCTGGTGAAACTTTAGGCTAGAGGTTAAAGATATCCAGAGATCATAAGAACTACAATATGATCCATTTTTTGTGGTGTTAAGACGGCCTCTAACGTTAGGTAAAAGTCTCAGATTCTAATTATTTAGGCTTTTTTGATTGGTCATTCTTATGGAACATTTTCAATATATGATATGATGCAGGCTCCTTCTAGGGAATATCTAGAATACAAAAGTGTTAATTTAAGGGAGTAATGCAACAGTCCCATGGTACATTAAAATAGCAAATCTATAAATATATGTATACACACACGACTGACTTAAAAACACAATCCTGGGCCACAGTATTGCAAGTTTGTAAAGAATGCAAATGATTTTATTCAGCACAGATAAAGGTGGAGAAGTTCTATTTAGAGGGTAGCCTGCACAGGTTAATGTTTGCGATTTGTAACTGCAACTCTAGAGTGCATCTAGCGACAATGACCGTTCAGTACATTTGAAATTTCTTGGGAAAACAACACAAATTTGCAAATAGTCTTCAACATGGACGTTTACCTCGGAGTGCTGGGATTGTGCCGCCTCTAGCTCCCCTTTCAAGCACTCGTGTTTGGATTGAATATCTGAAAGGGAGGTGATTGAATCCAGTCGCAGTTTGTGCAATTTCATGGAGTGCGCATTGAAAAAGGAATTCAGGTCCTCTTTCTGAGAATCAATCTAATGGGGGGATAGGGGAGTAGGATTAAAGGACAATACATGCTTTGTTGACATGGAATATATACAGTGCTATACAGGAACAACTCTGAAACGTACAGCATCCACTTTACCCTTACACCGTGAACATCCCCACCACTGCTGTGTAGCTATACTATGGTGGTAGAATAGATCATCGATGATCAATGCTTGAGACATGGCAAGTATGCAAGATTTTAATACTTTGCTATAGAAGACATTGAGGCAGTAGCAGTAGTTGCATGAGTTCTTGCATTGACATGTAGTTTACAAATTATGTGTGAATGAATTCTGGATACTTTGATGATCTTAGAATCTCGAGTACTGATGTGTAGTGGCCAATGATTAACTGGCAGTTAAGGCTTTGCCAGCATTCATTTAGTAAGATTGAGACACCGCACAAACACAAAAGGAGCAGGATTTGCAATATTTAGCAGGGAATCAACCAGCAGTGGTTTTCCCATTAACCGAATGAAGAAAGTGTGAGGGAAAGAATATAAAAACACACTACAGAATCCTCTTACATCTTGGCATTTTTTTAAAGTAATTTATCCCTTCGATGGAAAGCAGTATAGTCTATCTGCAGGCAAAACACTTCAACACCACCTTCTATGTCATTACATCAAGACGGTGCATCACTGCGTCCCAGTCCCCTGATTAGGTTTTAAATTCTTACTATGGAAAATATTGAATAGAATGCTATATATACACGGTATTACCGACTAAGAAAGATTACCTCCGACCAGTTTATTGCCCACGTACCTTGTCAGCCACCGCTGAAACGCTCTGCAAGCAACAACTCAAGTGAGAATTCAGATCCATGACAGACGTAACTAATGGCAGTAAGTCTTTATTCAAAGCTTTTTCCAGTCGGCTCTGATGTTCGGACTGTGGAAAAGATGACATTTAAAATACTATTACTACCACCACTACAAATGATTAAAAAAAAGTAAAACCTTTGGTGTTAAGAGGATAACCCAACAAAGGAATAATGGCACAACAAAGTGAATATTTGTGGTCTGTTGTGCAAGGTTGGCTGAGCACCAATTGTTATTAAACGCAATAAACCACACTTTATTATCCCTGTGATTGAAGATATCCAATGCCAAAATGATAATTGGTTATCCAAAACCAACACGTGAATATGCAGGTGATTTCATATACAAAATGTGAAAACTGGTTAAAAATGACAAAGCCATTTACAAAATGCAATAATTGGCTAGAGATTTACAAAGAACAAGAAAATGAGATCAGGCAAGGAAGGTTAGACATCTGGTTATCTCCAGCAGTCAAGCAGTGGCCAAATGACCTTGTTTTACTGCAGGACATTACAAGATATGTGATCGCCAAGGCTTATTCGAATAAAGTGTTTCATCTGCAAAATAACAGCCGGCTCACCATGAGTAGTTGTAAGTTCTCCTTGGCTTCTACCGAGAGAGACTCCTGTTTTAAGATTTCCTCAAGGCTTACAGCTACTTGTCGAGATACAGTTTCTTGAACTGAAGAAAAAGATGTTGCCACGGTTGTTGCAGTGGCATTTAAAGCTAACGAACTGGCAGAGAGGAGATCATCTGCAACAAAGAAACATTCAATGTAAATTATAAAACATTAGGAATTTTACATGGCTATAGGTTATATCGTCACTTTATAAATAACAATGGGTATGCACCCCCCACTCCCAGCGACAGCAATCCCTTTACTTCTATGGAAACTCCCTCTACTGCCGACTGTCATAACAGCCCAGCTGGTCCATTCACCCAACCGCACTATGAATTTACTAAAATCTATTTGTTTAGATAGTTCTGTGGCATTCCTTTGTTTAATTCCAGTGATGTATGGGACTACAAGGTCCCAATCTTTGTTAATTCTAATGTTGTACCATCAAGTCTGCAACAGACTAAAAAACTAAATGAGAGGTTACCAGGGAATGAATCTCTCGAGTTCTTACTAGAATGTAAGATCTATGCCGAAAGATAGAATGTATGTCAGCCAAATTCTGATAGCATTATGGAATGTGCTGATGATTATAAATAATTTGTAGCCAATAACAAAATCAGATTACTTGATGATCAGTCAGGGCAGTCTCCCATCTAACAGGAGGAATAATATTTGGAACAAGTGAAGGTTGTCCCTGTTTTGTAGCCTTACCCATGGATGTTGTGTAGAAGTCAAGCATCCCCTGCTGCTTTACACTGAAATCTTCCACAGACTTTTGGATCCCATTAAACATTTTATTCATTTTCTGGGCAAACGTCTCATGAACCTGGGCATTGTGCTCATCCACAGCTTTCTTACGGTCCAGCTTCTCATGGAGCCCAGACACATCCTTTGTCGTCTCTTCAACTGTGTTAAGCAACTAGATAACCAAGTGGAGGAAAGGCGAAACCATGAGAATATTTAATAGAACCATTGCCAAGTAGGCCCTTAGATATTGAAAGGCCAATAAACATCTGATATGTATCGGAGCCTAAAACAGTTATTTTGTTGCAGGATGGTTGGTCTTTGAAATGGGGGCAGGGGCTATTATTTTGCTCCATACTGGTAAGTTTACAGTAATTTGCTAGCTGGTTTACGTTTTATAAATCTGCCTAGCAAACGTTCACTAGTGATCTCTCACATGTGACATTCACAGCTTGACCTCTGAAAGCAAGCATGTCTAGATGTAGCATTACCTTGTTGGCGGTGGTGTGGAGCTTCTTCTCAGTGGTCTCCAGGACAGACACTACATATTCTTCCTGAGCCAGCTGAAACTTGGATTCCTGCAGGTTCCGATGAGTCTCCTCCAGAACCTTTTCCTTATATTGCAGCACAGTGGTGCACTCCTCCAGCTCCTTCTTGCTGTCTGTGAAGAGCTCTGTGACCTGCACACAAAAAGACAACAAATAAAATTATAAAAAGAATTCAGAAAGCACAGGACTTTGTAACCTCCATTAAGGAACAAACATTAACAGGACAATACAAAATAGAGAGTAATTCGCAAAATGTGAACTTACTCTTTTCAGTTCTTCTTCCACAGCTGAGATTTTGTCCATTAATTCCGTAAGCTGTTCTTCCTGGCATACCAGTTTTCCCTGCATTTGTCTGTTTAAGCATAAATAAAAATACAAATTTTACAACTGAATAAATATATCTAGATGTAAAAGCTTAGGTTAACTAATCGTGCATTGCGCTATGACTTACTCGTAGTTTTCAGAAGAGAGGTAGACGCCATTCTTTTCTCTTGCTGCAGCAAGGTCTCTCTTAAGTCGTTCAATCTCCTCGGTGTACTCCTGTGGAAGACAGCAAAGGATCATTTATCTACTTTTAAAGCGGCTGTCACTTTAGCTTCTCATAAAGAGATAACCTTTACAAAGTTATTTTTGATAACGCAATCAAAAGATACACACTGGACAAAGTGGGGACGACTGTTTCATGTAAATGCCAAACCTTGGCAAAAGGCAGAGTTTCTACTGCTAGTTCCGATCAGCTGTCTGGGACCACTGAAGAGAACAGTCATCATTGTGCACAAGGCACAGTAAATCCATAAGGCTACCTCCACACAAGTGGGCATAACACCTTGTGAGGTCTCATAAGTGACAAACTCATTTAATACAGCATGTATAGCCTGATCAGTCTCTGGTGTAAATTACAGATTCTTTACTGCATTTCACTACTCGAACGTCTATGAAAGCAATTTCTCAGTTTCTGTGGGACCAGGGTTGCCATAACATAGGAATAACATTACTTACCTTAATCAGGGCCCTCTTGGTAAGTTTCTGATTGACCTCAGGTTTATTCATGATATTCTTGGCTCTGTGGGCATATTCAAGAGTGCTCACTGTCTCCTACAAACAGAATGAAACACAAGACGTTTAGCATTAATAGGATACTGAATTCTACTGCGTTATTGGTATATGAGAGTAGAATGTTTTCACATGGCAAGCATAAACCAAAATGACACGATACACATTGAGTGAGGAAGTGCACATCACAAAGGGGTGGATGGCTACAATCTCATCCAGTTTTCGTAGACAGCTGACACTAGGCAGTTTGGGTTTAGTTTGCTCAAACCATACATTCAGTGATTTCAGGAAGAAGTCTTTCAACCAGGAAAAAAAACAAAAAAAACACACACACACAACTTTGTCTTCCATCTATTTTAGCAAGTCAACCCCAATTTGCTCAATTAAAGATAATTTCAGACAGCTGGGAAGAGCAGATAAAAAAATATAAAGCAACATAATATAGGAGAAGGAATTATATCTATATATCAAACCTCTAAATTGATGGAGGCTGGAGAAACTGTAGCAATGATCGAGGTTTTCGTTCTACCTCCCAGGGAGTCCTGAAGGATCCTAGTGAGTTTGGACTCCCTGTATGGAATATGCGGGGCTCTCTCCACCAGAGCGGTGATCACCCGACCGAGTGTCAGCAGAGACTGATTGATGTTACCAGCTTCCCTGGCTCTCTTGTCAACAGCTCCAGAGCGACCAATGTTCTCACTGCCAGCTAAATCGACCTGAGCAGAAAAAAAAAATACATTTAAAAACCAGACAGACAGATGCAGGTTTATGTTGGATTAATAGTGCTAAAAACTACTGCTCACCTGACCCCCACAAAAAATAAGGAAAAGTGCGAACTTATGGATATTCATGAAATCTTACCAAATTCAGCTTTCCAATTTTAACAAGCTCTTCACCATCAACAGTTGTCTCTTTCATGTGGATAGTGACAGAAAACACAGAGTGCGATCGGCTGTAAAGAGGAGAGTTAAAATTAATTCCAGTTTAGGCATAAAATGAGGGAAGCAGCGACCACCTCCACAATGTTTTAAATGCAGATGCAGCCATTTCTGTATTAAATAAGTTGCCATATTGTGAGGTCACAAAAAAATAAATAAAATAAACACACCAAAACATTGTGTTTTTCATTCTTTGCAGATAGAAGTGGGCTTTCCCCAAGTGTGTTAAAACCCACCATTTCATTCTGTTACAAGAGACATTAAGCACTGACCTGGAGTAAGCATTCATGAGAGTGGACGCAGTGGTTCTCTTTGCTGCACCTCTTTCCAAAATATGATAGACTTCATCCTTGTTATGGACGGTCACCTCCTCCAGTCCCTTAATAATCACTCCTCTCTGTAAAGGGGGGGGGAAATGAAGAGACATTAGAACAAATAGAAAATGGACCTCACTTTGGGACAATAACGCCCATAAAGGAAAATTAACTTTGAAAGATCTGGGGCATCAAGTTAATCCAACACTTTGAGGACAAATCTTTCGACTGCCAATTTCTCATATAAAATTACACTTACATTATTGCAGAGAATAACCTGCGCACAGTCTGGGCACTTAGAGTGGCCCTAACCCAGGCTCTCGGAGCGGTCAACCAAATAACTGCAATTCTGTCTTACAGACTTTCCATTTCCTTTTAATCCAAGCTGTGTTTATGGCGTGCAAATGCTGCACTCACAACTTGGATTGATTGCCCTGAGCCCTGAAGAGAGCGCTGAGCTGCAGTCAGTTTGCAGACCCCCCCTCTACCAGCCCATTTATTAACACTGAAAATAATTATCCCACAATTCCCTGATGTACATGGTTTAGGAGACAAGACCCCATAAGACAGAATGTTAAAAGGGATTCTTCCTGGTGGGGTGGGTCTGCTTCAGGCTTCTCGATAGTTTTAATAGATTATTAAATTGTCTGCACTATTTTATGCATCAACATATTGTATCAAACACAACACAACACCCCCTCCCACCTAAAAAGCTTCTTCTCCATTTAAATGATCATAATTGGAAACCCATACTCAAATATAATAGAATGAAATAAAGTCACGGACATCGAAAAGACATGCAAAGTGATACTTGAGTTGAAATCAGAATCTACCTTATTACGGGGATCATCAAACATTTGCAACCGCTCGCTAACATCAGGAGACGGACTGAGCAGATCGAAGAGCTCTTCGTTGTAGATTTCTAGCAAGGACACTTTAACGGAGAACTCGGTCCCGTTCTCTGAAAGCTTCTCAAATATCTGATGCAGCGTTCGAGGTATTATTCCAGCCAGGGGGTCCTTCCAAAAAAAAAAAAAAAAAAAAAAAAAAAAAAAAAAGAAAAAAAAAAAAAACCACACATTCAACAAATTGTAGCAAGCATTAATCATTTCTAATATAATCTAATCAGCTAGAGGAGATTGAGGGATAATTAATAAAGGGCTTTAAAGAAAACTATACCTGTTCCCAAGTAAATTCTTCATCTGCAGATCTTTCGCCTTCCATTGTGAAGGTTTTCCCAGTGCCAGTCTGCCCGTATCTAAATTAGAGATCATTTAAAATTCTTTCAGATTTGCAGAGTAGAAGCCAGATTAAAGAGGATTGAGTAGTTAAAGAAAAGCCATGAAGAATTGCAAAAAAAAAAGATTGCTGTGGCAAAGGGACTGTCCGGTAGGAGTTTAAAATGTATGTAAAGAGCTAAAAGGGAATGGTCCACCCCTTGTATTTAAGTATTTATCTCCATCGACAACGTCCACCAGGTATACAAGAGACTACAGGTGAGAGCAACAAAGTAACAGGAGGGGCTCCACGTGGGAAATTCACTATACAGACTAATGAGATCACCATCTTAAAAGTGCAATATAACCCTAAACTTAGAGAAACTTTACAGCAGGGGTGGCCAAAAGTAGATCTCCCAAGATGCTTTGCAATCTTCTAGCCAACAAATTCTTTTGGGAGTCTAGGAAGCTACCAGTGGCCACTCTGCATTTGGAATGCACTGAATATTAGTTACCTTAGAGATGTACAGGATACATTTGTAGTACAGGAAGCACTGATGGACACATTTTTTTAAATGAACAGTGATTGTGGACTAACTTTGGGATCATTACAAAATCAGCCCCTATTAGGCAATATGGGCAGTGGTTAAAGGGAGGACTTTGTTTTTCTTCATCACAACTAAAAGAACATATAGCAAATTCTTAACTTTGATCTTAAGAATTTGCAGATTCCAACTTCACCCTTTTAAAAAATACTTACGCAAAGATTGTGCAGTTATAACCCATAATGACCTCATCCAAGATTGGGCAAACGACACTCCGATAAACTTCGATTTGTTTAGCAGAGGGGCCAAACACCTGCAATGCAAGATTGTAATTACACACACTTGGAATTTCTATATAGAAAGATAAAATTGTACAAAAAAGTAAATAACAGGTCAGCCATAGCTATTGTTTGCATATTATTGTGTGTTATGTTCGAGAGGCCAATGCTTTGTGTTGGGAGCCTGTGCACGGGAAAATCTCAAAGTAACCAGTGATATCAGCCTGTTGGAGCAGCACAGATTCCCAAAAACAGTTCTACAGATTGTAGGCTCCCTACATTGCACCCCAGCCATATTTCTACCAATTGTAAGTTCTGTTATTTTGGAAAATGAATGTTTCTAGATTCATAGATTATCCAATCAGTCATAGATTATAGGCAATAATGACCTGGGAGTGACCTTCCTAATCTACACCCCATGTATAAACTCCGGTTACCATGTCAAACATGTAGTTCTTCTTTCCGAGTTTGTCATTTATGCCTCCAGTTCGGACGGATACTTCTCTCCTTTGGGCATCACATTCCAAAACAGAGTGAGAATTCGCTTTTCGTTCCATGTTATTGAACGGTCTGCCAGGGGACACATTGTTATTTAGTAAAAGTCATGTAAATAAATGTTTATTAAGAAAGTGTTATACCAGTCAGAATACACTGAAATTTATCTTGCTACCAATATTGTCCCAGGAACAGTCTCTGGCCATTACCAATAAATGGATTAATTATAGATTAACTAGACGAATACATGCTATACAACAGGAACAGTACTTGAGAAAGGGTTCTATTAAAAGGGACAATATAGGCACCATAAACACTTCATGGTTAAGTGGTTATGGAACCAGAGTTCAATCTCTGCAAACTCCTGTTTAAATATCTTAACTTGACAAAATAGAGCTTTAAAGGGTTACTCCAACCAAAAAAAAACCAAAACACAACAGTGTTTTAAGAGAACACTGGTGTTCCTTGGAGTGACCCTTCCTAGCCTGGTATGCCCACAAAACTGAGGGGGCATACCAATCCAGCGCTTCTCCATCACCCAGATCTTTCCATGTGACATCACTCCATCGCAAGGGGAGGACAGGACAGTACGGAGTGAGGGGTGGGGAGACTGTGTAGCCATTGGTTTCCTGATACTACACATAGAGACTGCAGGCACCATGGCCACTTCAGTGACTTTGATTAACCCTTTAATTTGCTTAACAACAAGCTAGTATCTCACTGCTGATGTGGAGGGACTTGCAGGCACACCTAGCTCCAATGATCACCGAGATGTGTGGACTACTAGAGTTTACATATATAAAGAAATGCTGTAAAAAGCAAAGGATTGTTCTGGCATTTTTGATCGTTGCATATGCACATGTGACCCTGTGGCTATAATTTAGCTGGCAAGCTCCGACTGTGCCTGACGAACAATGTAAATTAAACAATACATGTCTTTCTTTAAAAGAGAAAAAAAAACAAAAAACACAAAGTAACAAAAACTCACACTTCTTCATTAACTAGGGTGCAGGAATCAGTGACAAAAGTCAACAATTATACGACTGACAGATACCCATCAATACCAGGTTAGGGCCCAGCAGTAGTATCAGAAGCTGCATCTTATCTCAATGAAGAAAATTAATAACATTATTATAAGTCAAAGGAAATAGCACTACTGCTCCCTCTGTGCACTCGATATCATTAACACCTTCAGAACAAGGGGCTACACCAATCCTGTGATGATAGGACAGGCCTAGCACATCAAAAATAATTCCTTAAAGATTAAGCAATGACAGATTTCACAACACATACCTGCATCGCACCACCACCTGGATGTTTTTCCCTTTGTCCTCTTTCTTGCTGGACATGGTCCCATTTTGGGTAGACATGGTCACTACAGAGTGACCTAGAAAGAAAGAAATAAAATAAATACATTACACTATTTACGCTTTTATAGAATAATCCCTTCTCATTTGTTTACTTTATAGAATGTATAACTACAAAGGCATAATGAGAACATATTGGCATCATACACAATAATTTAGAGGTTTACAGATGACCGCTCCATCCCAAGAGGCTTCCCTCCTCAGTGTACAAACAAATCCTTGACTATTAGGATCCTGAATGTGGCCAAAAGTTTGATATTCCTGCTTTGGAGGAAGGAGACAGCCACTATTCTTTCCGTTTGGTTATTTTTCATGCTGATGGACGATGGGTATACATGTCCATTTGGATGCAGTAAATTTTATCCTCAGAGTCGGCTGACTTTCAAGTGCTTTTACAGTGAAATGAGTGTCTATAATTAACTGCATTCTAGTATTTAAAAATCGATAATCCACTAGAAAGATGTGTCAAATCCCCACCTTTTCCCCCCCTGTCTTTATTTCAAGTTTTTTTCTTCTTCCACGCCACACCCCGAGGAGGGACAAGGTGATATGGCAGCAGACTATGGTTCGGACGTTGGGTAAAAACTTAGACCGCTGCCCGTTCAAGTTCCCGACCACCTACACAAAACGACGTTCGGGAGATATGTACTACCGAACAGGGGGAGCATTCGTATCTTGAAAGAGATTCCCTTGTATGGTGTTCGCACAAGAACCTCACGAACAGAGACCGGCAAGGGCACCTATTTCTCTGGAACAGTTTTGGACTAGCGCCTCGTGTCTGGCCGGTCAAAACTTTACCACAATGGCATTCCCGTTCTGCCGAACCGATCTGAGTGGTTCTTGGACATGTTGGACACTTAGATCGGGGAATTTACTTTTCGTGGGGTTCTGGGGTATGGTTGAGGGACTTTTTGGGTACAGGGACTGGGCATAAAGCTGTGTATGTGACAAACTTCAGTTGTACTCCCAGAACTGTGTGTCGTCCAGTTACTGGGGAGGAGGTTGTTAATTCTTTGGTGTTTTACTTGCTCCTGAGTTTACTTTGGTGAATTCAGCGTAGAAGAGTCCCTGCTAGAACTAGGCCACTGTTGTTTTTATAGTTCTATCAGGGAAAATCACTAAAAAGTGTGATCACAATAGTTGAAATGGAAACATTCTCTAAGCCAGCTAGGTTTTAATTTCAGCTATTTTTGGCTAAAATTGGCAATTCAGTGTACAATCCTGTTATCTGTTGGAAGAGTGAATGGCGTAACAAAATACCATTTCAGAACACCAACAAATGGATTATAGCGTAACGTCACAACAGATGGATGGAGAGAGTCAGTGTAAAGAAAAAACACAACAACATTCCCAAACTATAGCAAATAGTCAGCAACTTAAGGCGTCACTAAATTTGAGAACCATATAGCTAAACTGGAAAAATTATCGAAGCCAGATAAGTTTCCCATTCAGCTACTGTGTCCTTAAATTTTAAAAAGTCACTTTAGTAAATAACCCTATTAATTATTTAGACATGGATGTAAATGTCCATGCATAAATATTAAAAAGATTTACAGAAGGCCAACTATAACATGATCATCAAGATGTGCCCAACACTAGTAATTAACTGTTTAAAAACAGAATAATATAAACCAGTATTCTGCCATGGGCCCAGAGACGGTTCCCATCCTCGGCCACTTTTCTAAACATAGAATGAACACTTCTACAGTATGGATGTAAGTTTCTTTGCTCCAATTGGATTACACTGATTGGCTGACACTGCTGGGATACCTCCTTAGCACGCTCAGCCAACCATGGCACTTAGGCAGGCTAAATTGAGTTGCATAATTAACACTTCCTCGATACCTTGCTTGGACAAGCAGATCATCAGTTTCTGTCAAGCCATTCCTAAACAGTTTGACATTTCGAGTGCCCCTTTAAAGTGGCACAGTCTCTGGTCTAATTTCTAAAAATCCTGTTGCACTTATATAATTTGTGTGCTAGGGTGTCCTAGCACCGCCAGTGTAAATTTCTATAACGTCCATGGTGATGTGCGTCAGCTGCTTGGTCATGTGCAAACTTTAGAAAGTTATATTGCTTAAAGTGCCTCTTTAAACATTAAAAAAAAAAAAATTAAAAAGCATTTTAAATGTACATTTTGCATAAGAAACAAAGGAATTAAACAACTTATGCAGAAAAGATAATTCCCAACTCATGTATCAGCTACAGCAACATACACACACACGTAAATAAATAAGAACTAAAACACAATTATTACAATGACAACGGTTTTACATCACCAACTGACAACGCATTGCATGCAAACATCAACTAAACTAGCAGATGTTTAAAACCAGTGAGAATATACAGGTGATACTGGAAAAATTCAGTATGTTTTCACGAGCTGTAAGCCATAATCATCGCACTTATGACAAATCCCAGCTTGAACAATCTTGCTTTGCATGTAATGCGTTTCTCATATATTAGTTTCCCCCTTTACGTTGCATTACTGAAATAAATGAACTTTTACACAATATTCTAATTTTTCGAGTATCACCTGTACAATAGTTTATAAGATTTTCCAAGTGCTAATATTTTTCCGTCTATGCCCCATTTACTCCTAGACAACATTCTTCACTCTATATACTATTGGAGAACCACTTAACTGCTTTAACAGTTTTACTCCTGGATGTTTTGAACTAACTATTCCATAAAAGTTTAAAAGTGTCAGAAGCAAGTTATCCATCAGTTCCTTCATCCACCAACTCAACCAGAAAGAAACTAACCAAATACACTGGAAGTCATGCATTACTTTAGTTTTAATCCATCAAAACTAAACCAGACCTAGCTATTAGAGATGGCAAAAGACAATGCAATACTTTCAGAAATACAATATGTCACCGTGTGTTCTCTATATATTTTCACAGCCTGGAATTACATAGCCTTGCTCCAATATCGAGTATAACATTAAAGGTCCACTATAGGCACCCAGACCACTTCAGCTCAATGAAGTGGTCTGGGTGCCAGGTCCATCTAGGGTTAACCCTGCCTGCTGTAAACATAGCAGTTTCAGAGAAACTACCTATAGAATGTAAGCTCGATTGAGCAGGGTCCTCTTCAACCTATTGTTCCTGTAAGTTTATTTGTAATTGTCCTATTTATAGTTAAATCCCCTCTCATAATATTGTAAAGCGCTACGGAATCTGTTGGCGCTATATAAGTGGCAATAATAATAATAATAATAATAATAATATGTTTACAATAGGGTTAATCCAGCCTCTAGTGGCTGTCTCATTGACAGCTGCTTCTCACTGTGATTTTCACAGTGAGAAGACGCCAGCGTCCATAGGAAAGCACTGAGAATGCTTTCCTATGGACTGACTGAATGCGCGCGCGGCTTTTTCCGCGAATGCGCATTCGGCAGAAGAGTCCACAGCGCTGAGGGAACCCGGCGCTGAAGAAAGGCAAGTGTTTAACCGCTTCCTCCATCTAGAGCCTGGCGGGAGGGGTACCATGAGGGTGGGGGCACCTATTAATACTATAGTGTCAGGGCCAGGAAAACGAGTTTGTTAGTGGTCCTTTAACTCCTTAAGGACCAAACTTCTGGAATAAAAGGGAATCATGACATGTCTTGTGTCCTTAAGGGGTTAAACAGATTCTCTATAATTTCAACAGAAAATATATATACACATACACACACACACACACACCATTAATAATAACAACATGATGTATAGAATATATACACACACAATAATAATAATAATAAAACATGTAATGGCTATATCTTTCTATCACTATATAATGTTAATTATGATATTTCTCTCCTCCCCCACCCCCCATTTAAAGGGCACTGCCCCGGTTTGCTGTTGAGCAGTGGCACTCTGCTGGCTGAGGATTATGAGAGTTGGAGAGGAAGGCACAGTGAGCAGTGGTGGTGACTTACCGTCGGGTAGCAGCAGGTAGGTAGGTGCAGTATCCGCTGCCAGGTACGGTCTCAGTGGCGGAGCGTTACACGGACAGACAGCGCAGGAACTAGCACAGTTTGAAAATCGCGCTTCCGACAGGAGCAGCCAATCCCAGCGCGGGAGGCAGTGCTTATCGCCGATTGGCTGGATCGGGAAACACCTCGACGCGGATAGGCTGAGAGGAGAAGTGCGGCACCACGTGATGCGCATTTAAACGGCCAAGCGATCGGCGCAGGCTCGGCTGCCTGCGTCACGTGACGGACAGGCCAATGGGAAAAGGCAGCAGCCAGAGATGCTCAGTGCGGACTACGTTTCCCTTGATGCTCCGCGATTAGAGTGGCTGCTGCATTGAGGGAAATGTAGTTCAAGCCTGAGCAACAAAGGAAGTTATGTCGAAATTAAAAGCAAGCATTCATTTTACAGTTCCCTTTAAAGGGACATTCCAGGAAATATGCAAAATGTAGATATTTGAATTTAGTTTTTTTCTTTCTATTGGCCATACCTCCCCCAGGGTCCCTATTTGCATTGTGCCCATAGGAGAGAATGTAAATAATACTCTGTGCATTGGGTACCAGGAATGGGGCTGCATGCATACAAGGCTGATAGTGTAAATATGGTATAGAACAGAGAATAATGCCCTCTAAAACAAAATACAGCCCCTCCAAAACATCAACGGGGTAGACACAACCGAAAATACTGTAGTACACCTTGATTTCCATAGAAATCCGCACACGGTAGTAGCTCCAAAATAATACTACAAGTAGGAAATGAAAAAGTGCACGATTTATAAAAAAAGAAAAATAGATAGAGGGAAAAAAAAATAACAAATATGGCAGCAACTAGTAGCCCACCTAATAAGATGTTACCAGCAATATGTGCTCCGAAAGCCAGTGTGCAATGGATATGAACATTCAAATAGGGGGAAATGACACCCTGCATCAAAAAGGAAAAAGAAAACAATTCTGAGAAAGTGACAAGACAAGCACCAAGCGCATCTAGGACCTCCAGTTTACTGTGTCTCTTTTCTCCCCCTCCTAGTAGAGTTTGCTCTCTCCAGCTGCCTTTTGCCTTTCCCTGCTCCCCCCCCCCCCGCCTTTTTTTGTTTTTGTTTTGTTTACATCTTATTAGGTAGGCTACCAGTTGCTGCCATTTTTGTTGTATTTTTTACTCTATTTTATTTTTAAATTGTGCACTTTTCCATTACCTACCTGTGGCCTTATTTTAGAGCCGCTATCATGTGTGGACTTCATTGGATTTTTGGTGTACTTCAAAGGCTGATATTGGCCAATTTGTATGCAGTGTCACCGGCGCAGCCAATACTAGCGGGTCCACTCGTTACGTCTCCCGTTCATTCCTCTCAATGTTAGGAAATATGCAGGTACAGCTACTACTGGCCCATCCCATTGCTACGTCCACATGTATTCTTACCGATGTTAGGTGACATAAAGCTCTCTCTCTCTGGTTCCACATTCCGAACAGTAATACAGCTTTGGTTCCTTATTACCACACATACTCAAGGCAAATTCCTTATATACAGGGAGTGCAGAATTATTAGGCAAGTTGTATTTTTGAGGATTAATTTTATTATTGAACAACAACCATGTTCTCAATGAACCCAAAAAACTCATTAATATCAAAGCTGAATATTTTTGGAAGTAGTTTTTAGTTTGTTTTTAGTTTTAGCTATGTTAGGGGGATATCTGTGTGTGCAGGTGACTATTACTGTGCATAATTATTAGGCAACTTAACAAAAAACAAATATATACCCATTTCAATTATTTATTATTACCAGTGAAACCAATATAACATCTCAACATTCACAAATATACATTTCTGACATTCAAAAACAAAACAAAAACAAATCAGTGACCAATATAGCCACCTTTCTTTGCAAGGACACTCAAAAGCCTGCCATCCATGGATTCTGTCAGTGTTTTGATCTGTTCACCATCAACATTGCGTGCAGCAGCAACCACAGCCTCCCAGACACTGTTCAGAGAGGTGTACTGTTTTCCCTCCTTGTAAATCTCACATTTGATGATGGACCACAGGTTCTCAATGGGGTTCAGATCAGGTGAACAAGGAGGCCATGTCATTAGATTTCCTTCTTTTATACCCTTTCTTGCCAGCCACGCTGTGGAGTACTTGGACGCGTGTGATGGAGCATTGTCCTGCATGAAAATCATGTTTTTCTTGAAGGATGCAGACTTCTTCCTGTACCACTGCTTGAAGAAGGTATCTTCCAGGAACTGGCAGTAGGACTGGGAGTTGAGCTTGACTCCATCCTCAACCCGAAAAGGCCCCACAAGCTCATCTTTGATGATACCAGCCCAAACCAGTACTCCACCTCCACCTTGCTGGCGTCTGAGTCGGACTGGAGCTCTCTGCCCTTTACCAATCCAGCCACGGGCCCATCCATCTGGCCCATCAAGACTCACTCTCATTTCATCAGTCCATAAAACCTTAGAAAAATCAGTCTTGAGATATTTCTTGGCCCAGTCTTGACGTTTCAGCTTGTGTGTCTTGTTCAGTGGTGGTCGTCTTTCAGCCTTTCTTACCTTGGCCATGTCTCTGAGTATTGCACACCTTGTGCTTTTGGGCACTCCAGTGATGTTGCAGCTCTGAAATATGGCCAAACTGGTGGCAAGTGGCATCGTGGCAGCTGCACGCTTGACTTTTCTCAGTTCATGGGCAGTTATTTTGCGCCTTGGTTTTTCCACACGCTTCTTGCGACCCTGTTGACTATTTTGAATGAAACGCTTGATTGTTCGATGATCACGCTTCAGAAGCTTTGCAATTTTAAGAGTGCTGCATCCCTCTGCAAGATATCTCACTATTTTTGACTTTTCTGAGCCTGTCAAGTCCTTCTTTTGACCCATTTTGCCAAAGGAAAGGAAGTTGCCTAATAATTATGCACACCTGATATAGGGTGTTGATGTCATTAGACCACACCCCTTCTCATTACAGAGATGCACATCACCTAATATGCTTAATTGGTAGTAGGCTTTCGAGCCTATACAGCTTGGAGTAAGACAACATGCATAAAGAGGATGATGTGGTCAAAATACTCATTTGCCTAATAATTCTGCACTCCCTGTATAGATGCACCATGACACAAGCAGCAGTTCAGAGCTAAAAGGGAAACACTGAAGTTTGGAAAAGAAGGGCAAAGAATGACCATATAGCCCCTTAAGGACCAAGCTTCTGGAATAAAAGGGAATCATGACATGTCACACGTCATGTGTCCTTAGAGGACCATTATAGTGCCAGGAAAACATACTCGTTTTCCTGGCACTATAGTGCCCTGAGGGTGCCCCCACCCTCAGGGTCCCCCTCCCGCCTAAACTTACCTTTATTCCAGCGCCGGGCAGGTAGCTCTCCTCCTCCTCCTCTCCGGCTGAATGCGCAGTTTCTCTGAAACTATGTATATAAAAAAGGGGTTAATCCTAGTGGGACCTGGCACCCAGACCACTTCATTAAGCTGAAGTGTTTTGGGTGCCTAGAGGTTCGTAGAGTGGTCCTTTAAGGAGTTAAACTATACATATAAGAATCCGTAAGCACCAAGCTTCCATTTACTTGTTTTGTACTTAAGGGCCAAAGTAATTTTGGGACTTTCGCTTGTGTGTGCTCAACTGCAATTTCCATCTTTCTCATTTATTGCTATAACATACATTATGTACCATTTGGGGTTTTTTAAAGAGAAAAAATGCCTTAATTTTATGTGACAAATATATATATCAATTCTAATTTATTAAAAAAAAAAGTTAAAAAAGGAACAACAATTACACTTTTTTTTTTTTTTACAGTTTTGGCAACAGTAATGTGTGCATAACTGTTTAAGAAAACTAAATCAAAGTAAATTCATGCATTTGTCCTTATTTACAGAGTACTTCAGATGTCTAGAATTACGGTTTATATTTGGTAGTTACAGGTCACAAAATACAAGGCGTAAAAGTACAATTTCAATGTGGAATGTTTATTTTCTAAGTGTCATATCCATCACAGAAATCAAAATTGCCACACACAAGCATATATTTGTATAAAGTGCCTTATACATCACAGGCTATTTACCTAAGGGTATTTAGATACTTTTTACATAGTCAATTACTAGTCACTCACTGTTAAATACTGTAGTAAAAAAAAAAAAAGTGTTCTTTTCTGTTTTTATTTTTTTATATCTACACATATAACAAGGTTTTTGTTTTGCATGTGTATTTCATAAACTGTATGTGCACTACTCCTGTACAAAACCCCATATTGTATGCAGATACATTTTCTGAGTACAATTTATACCACTATTCTGTTAAGCTAGAGTGCTCGACTATTTCAATCCTTAAAGTTAGAATTTTGATAGATGAATATAATGGGCCTTTTGTAACAGTTTGACCATTGAAATTACCCCATAAATGCATGCATTATTTGTGAAAGTAAACACAGGGTATACATATTTTAAAACATATTTTTACATTTCATTAATGCACAACTTTCAAAGTTTGAAGTATTATTTTAGTTTGTATTTTTAACATATACAAAGCAGTTTCGTGGTTTATTTTGTAAACTTGATGGGTGCTTCTGTAGCACAAATCACTATATTATGCTCTGCTATAACACCTCCCCCATGGAGAGTAAATACCTATAGGGAGGCTGTAAAAGGTAGGATCATGCCACATGACGCCTGAACGTTAGTAAATGTGGTGAGGCACTCACGTCCACGCCATATTCCTGATTGAGACCCACTGTCCCTTTAATTACTGTGGATGCGCAGAGGCCGACATCATGCTAGCCGCGAGCGCCACTGAAGGTGAACATGAAGCCGCCGGAGTATCCGGCCGCCACACTGGTGCGTTCTGCAGGTAAGTGCGACTCGTGGGTGGTGTGAAACAGTGTTTACATTACTGCCTAGTAACACCTCCAGAGGCAGTCACTCAGCTGGCCACTATAGGTTTTCTGGCACTGTAGAATCCTGGAGTGCCCCCCATCCCATGTCGCTGAAGGGGTTGAAACCTCTTCAGACACTTACCTGAATCCAGCGCCGATGTCCCTTGGAGGTGGGTCTGGCTCCACCCACACTCCTCCCCCCCCCCGCTGACTAGGTAGACCTAATGGGCATAGGTGGCAATGGCTGCAAGTGTGCATTAGACCTCTCCATAGGAAAATATTCATATTACACCAAAAGTAGTCTAAGAACCCGAAAGTCCCTCTGGTGGCTG